AATCATAAGAAAAAAAAAGATCTTTGCTTTTTTAAATAAAATGATTAAAAGTTTTTGCTACACAACGAGATAAAAATCGATTTTATAATAAAAATATTCTTCTCTAAAATCATATTTTTATTATAAAATTCTCTTATGTAATTATAAATGAGATGATTCTAGAAGATGTTAATATTGATATATACTAATTTTCGAATTCTATTTCTATAAGAGAAAATCAAATTTAATTTAATTTTATCTAGAGAATAGAATTCAATGATAAATATCCTATTCAATGAAGGAAGTCTTCCAGTATATATAGATCCTATTGTGTAGTAGAATAATCAATATGGAAGGAAGACGACGACGGATACACTTTTCTTTCCTCCTATCAGCAAACTAAACTGTTTTTTCTTAATCGATTTCACGTAAGACATCATATCTGATTGTATTTGGCAAGTTAGTTTTTACATAGGTTATCAAACCGTATTTGAAAGTTGCTTTTCCGCAAGGAACTCTCTGTAGAACTTGATATATTAGATTATTTTTAAAGATCTTATCATTAATAGAGTAAACTGTCATTATAACGGCTATACCTATATTAACTTTTAAATAAATAATCCATAATTATCACTAAAGATTATCGAATCAAATCTAAATGAATAAATCTGTTTAAAAAATTATTTATTTTGCATAATTCTAGATGGTTTTCAAACAGATTGTTTGATGTACAGGATTGGAAATAATATTATTCCAGGGGGGCAGCGCTATAATTTCAAATAGAAGATATAATGAGTTTTATATCAAATTAAAGCTCGTCAAAAATGGGGTTTATTGATGCTAAACAATGAGGATTATAAAAACCTTTTAGTGTCAAACTTAAGAAATTTTATACTTTTTTGGGGTGGAAAAATAAGGTGGCAGTAATTCAAAAATGGATTAATATTTCTTTCTTAAATATTTTTACATGATTTTATAGAGCTTGTCGAGCTCTACAAAACTGTATATTTAAAAAAATTTTCAGGCCATCTTTTTTGAGATAAAAATTTCGAAAAACTACTCGGGAAGTCTTGGAAAACGTTTAAAAACTCTTTGCTTCTTAAGTTGAAGAAATACGCTCAATTTTTCAATAAAAGTAGCTTTTTTCATTAATTTAGTACCTCAAACGCCTCGAAATATACTCATTCGATACAGCGTGAAAAATTACGTCTAATGAGCATATTCCAAGACATTTGAGGTAGTAAAAATAATGAAAAAATCTACTTTTATTGAAAAATCGAGCGTGTTTCTTCAAATTGAAAAAAAAGAGTTTTTAAACGTTTTTTGAGGTTTCCCGAGTAGTTTTTCGAACTTTGTATCTCAAAAAGATGGCTTGAAAAATTTTTTAAATATACAGTTTTGTAGAGCTTGACGAGCTCTATAAAACCATGTAAAAATATCCAAGAAAGAAATACTAATCCATTTTTGAATAACTGATACCTTAATCCTCCACCCTAAAAAAGTATAAAATTTCTTAAGTTTGACACTAAAAAGTTTTTATAATCCTCACTATTTAGTATCAATAAACCTCATTTTTGACGAGCTTTCATTCGATGTAAAATTCATTATGTCTTCTATTTGAAATCATAGCGCTACCCCCGTGGAATAATATTATTTCCAACCCTGTAGTGAACACGAAGATGAAATTGATGTTTATTGAAATTTTAACAATCCTATAAGGTTTCACACAAAACTCTCGAAAATCTGGCACAGAGGATTTTTTTTGACTTTTTAAGTAAAATACGAGATAAAACATTCGAAATTGGATACTCAATCGAAAGTTGACATTTATTCTACTCTTCTATCATAAGATATAAAACACTGATTTTACTGATGGATAATTTCAGTTTTCAAAGCTTATTATACTTCTAAGGAAATATTCTAGATCATCTTCAAGTAGATTTCGTCTTTTTCTACCTATGAAAATTCTTTTCTCACTGAATGATTATAGAGAAAGAAAAAAATCTATCTAGTTAGTCATATGAACATTTCAAGAAATATTTATTGATTATTTATAAAAATAACTTTTGTCTTTTCGTATACTAATATTCGTAATAATGATACTTGATTCTATCGATAATAATATCTTTGATAAGACATAATGTCTTACTTCAAATCGATTAAAGAAAAAAATAAAAATGTTTATTTTATTAATAGGAGAAAAGAGAATTTCTGTGTCGTTCTCGTATTCGTTTAAACTCGTATATTGATTTACAGAATTAGTTGTTATTTGAGTATTAGGAACATTTTTAATATTTAATTTTAATCTTGGAACTTTCGCTGCTGTTGGTTGTGGTGTTGGTGTTGGTGTTGGTATTGGTGATGGTAATATTGGTTTAGTTGATAAATCGAGTACTGTATCATTATTTTTATCAATATTTGATGATATTTCTGAAAACTAAAAAATCAGCACAATCAAATTAATGATTTTAATTTAAAAAAACAAACAAAAATCTAACATTAATTAATGGATGTGATTGAGAATGTATTTCATTTGATTGATTTATTGGTGGACTGACAATTAACTTTTTTCCAAGATTAATTGATGGACTATTTGGAACTAATACAGATGCACTTAATGGTTTTTTAATAACTGTTCCATCAGTTGTTATTGGTGGTGGTGGTGTTGGAGGTGGTACTAATGATAATGGTGGTGGAGTTGTTGTTCTTGTGGATGGGACTGTTTGAGATGGTTGTGGTGGAAATTTTTTAATTGATAGTGGAGGTTTATCATTAACAACTAAAGGTTTTGGTATAGTTAAACGAAGTGGTGGTGGTGGACCTTGTTGTTGTTCTTTTTCATTATTTTCCTATTTTAGTTAATTTAATCAGTTTTTTTCTATGGAAAAAAAATTGAAAAAAAAACAAAAACCTTTTCAAGTTGTTCTTTTTTTGCTTTTTCAGCTGCAGCAGCAGCTGCTGCTGCTTCCATTTCAATAACACGTCGTGGACGATAAAGAACTGAAGGTAATGATTGATTTGCTCGTCTTCCAACTGGCATTGTTGTTGTTTCATCACCATTCTTACTTAAGAATGATAATAATGTTAAAGGATGATGAGAATCAGATCTATATTAAACAAATCAATTATTACATTTTTTATTTTTTATTTATTAAACAAATATTTCTATCAGCCTTATTTTACTAAGCTTATACAAAATCATATTTTGTTAAAATAGATCATTTTTAGAAAGTTAAATATTATAATAGATAACTTATCATAGAAATAATTCTTTCAACTAATATCTTCAATCGAGATTAAAAAAATCTTTCTCTCATAAATATAACAGTAAATCCTAGTGGAAGATTCTTCAAAGATCTAACTGTAACATAAGATTTCCTATTATATTCTATCCAGGCCAAACAATCAGACGGTAACGATCGGATCTCTGATCTTGTTATATCAGACAGAAATCGTGGTGTCTACAAAACTTCCATCAAGTCTTGATGTACAATTCTTACAAGATCAGAAAGATAATTTATGGCGCCAAAGTCTTTCCAGGTCAAACAATCAGACAGTAAGATGTTAGAAGATGACACCTCTGATCTTATACGATCTTGTAAGATCAGATAGAAATTGTAGATAAAATCGTCGTCCCAGAATTGTGTTGATCCTTCGTATAATAAGATTGTTGAAAAAGGTTGTTATCTTGTCAGATCTTCGACGAATCTAATAGTATGATCTGATACAAGATTTCTTCGACGACGATTTTTTGTCAGATTATTCTAAGATTTCGTCCAGATTACAAGATCTTACATCGAGAGGACAAGATCTTACGTTAGATTTTCCGACTTGAAAGGAATATCTTTCAAGAATCTTATTAAACGATATAAGGTTAAATTGTTGAGATGATAATTTATTGTAGAGTCTTCGCCTGATTTTAGAAGATTAAAGATCCGATCGTCCCATGATTTCATCGAGTCATTGTTTGACGATCAATTTTTGAACTGTTAGTTGGTTGACTTCTGCCTTTCTGATAGGTTTTCTTATCCAGTTAGAGTTTTGTTAGGGTGAGGTGATCTTTTAATAGAGTTTCTTTTCTAATAGAACGATAGTCTGAAAAAGTGATTTATTATTTTTCGATCATATTGTTGAGTTAATTATTCGATAAATGTTATAATGTATGTTATGATGAAAGGTAAAGGATAGGGTTGAAGGAATATATCTATATAAGAGTGAGGATAATGATTAATAGATGAGTCTCTATTAATAAAATTGAATGAATATATTTGTTTGATGGTTTAAATGATGATATTTATATAAAAAATTTGTATTAAATATTAAAAAAAAATACTTGTCAATTTTTTTTTGTTGATCATGATAAATGGTCGCATCAAAATTAGTATCAATATTAATAGATGTTGATTGTTCTGGTGTTTCTTCTATAGAAAAATAAGATAAAATAAAATTTGATAAATAAAAAAAAAAAAAAGTTACGATCAGGAAAAAGTGGTAACCAATCATAAATATAATCAGTTGATTGATTTTGATCTCTTTGAATAATTTCTTGTGAATGTTTAGGTGGAATTCTTAAATAAAATTGATTTCGTTTTTTATATGGAAATTGAATAATATCTTGTGAAAAAGGTAATGATCGAAATTGTAACATATATTCTTGTAAATTATTTAAATATTCTTGATTATTATCAATTAAAATTGATAAAAGATGAAAAAAATATTGATTAGAATAATTATTTAATTGAATTATATTTGATGTTTGTTTAGCTAAAGATAAAAATTGTCTTTCACAAACATCAATTAATATATCAATAGCTATTTCTGATGTTGTATCAAATCCAATAGCATCACATAATTGACTTATGCTTATTTTTAATAATTCTCTTGCATAGTTTAATGACATTTTTTTTTTTTATCTTAAAAACAATAATTATATATTTATTTATGAAAATTAATTTTCTTTTTTTCTTTCTTTTTTATTTTGAGAAAAAAAAAACAAAAGAGAAAAAAAAACTGAGAATAAGTTAATATGTTGAACGACAACAAAACCGTCCAAAATTATTATCAACATTTTGACAACAATTAGCTGTTGATAATAAAGATAATGATATATTATCACAAAAATAAATACGTTCGGATTTTAAATTTGATGATGAACTTACTAATAATGATAAACAATCACAACTTATTCTTATACAACCAGATAAATCAACATATGTTAAATATTCAGTTATACCATTATTTATTAATAAACTATATTTAAATTAAATTAAAAAACAAAATTTTTTTTATTAATTAAAAAAAAGAAAAAGAAAATATTTACTTTAAACCATAATCAGTTATTTGATAACAACCAGATAAATTAAGAATTTTTAATTTAAATTTATTTGAAATATTTTTATATAAATGAGAACATTGTTGACATAATGATAATTGATTTAAAGAATTTTTTTCATATGATATTTTATCTACTAAACATTGATGTGTATCTTCAATTATAAATAAATCATTATATTCCAATAAAATACATGATGATATTAGATTTATAAATAAATAATCATCCATTAATTCACATCCTTCGACTATTAAACTTTCTAATGAATTTATCCATCGAAAACTATCAATAAACAAACCTTTTTATTCAACACATTTTTTACTATTTACAAATATCACATTTAAAAACAATTTTTTTTATTAGAACAATCCTGATCCTTCACCACAGAAATTTACTTTAACCAAATAATTCAATTTCAAATAATGACTCATACTCCCGGAGACTTCAATACTAATAACTACGCATAATTTGGAGCACTCAACTCTCCTCTTTTCTCCCCGTGGGTATAAGTCATTTTTAGAAATTGAATATTTCCCCAAGGACACATTCTTTTCAGATCATTTTTTTCATTAGACTCTACCTTATCTAGAAAATCCTGAGTGAGAATAAATTAGAAAAGTTGGAAAGGTTCTCTGGTAAGAAGTTTATTCATTATCGAGAAGTGGATCTCAATGAAAGGATCTTATAGAATATATCAGAATAAGATTTGTTTTTCTTCGACAGTTAAAAGTTGCTTCTTCACAAGAGAAAAGAGTCGATAAAATAAAATAAATTGAAATATTTTAAAATGAAATTTGATGGTTAAACTTTTATTTTCATTTAATTTAAATTTCAAGATATTTTTTTTTTTGATAAAAATCAATTTAAAAAAAAATCTTTTCAAAATCCCTTATTAATAATTGTCTTAATTTCTGAGATGAAAATAGTAAAAGGTTGTCAATATTGTTTTATATCTAAATCTGAAAATGTTATCATAGAAATGTTCTATTGATTTAAATTTATTTTCATGATATTTAATAAAAAAACTTTTTTCAAAAAAGGTCAAAACGATTACGAAGAGATTTTTAGAGTTTGAAAAACCTAGAAATAATATTGACCTCACTCTTCGACAATATTTCAACTGAAAAAAAAACGATGAAATGAAGTCTTTTACTATGATTAACGTATAGTTCCTCTTCTATTAGGGAGAAGGATTTCCTCTGCTAATCTTTTTTTTTTGACGGTTCACTTTTATTTTTTACATCAAATAAACGAAATTGATTTGCAAAATAAATAAAAAAAACTTACTGTAGAAATGCTTTTGGTGTTAATTTAGTCATTCCGACATTGAGATGTTTTAAATTTGGACATGAATCAAAGATTTTTCGTGCCTAATAATTAAGAATTAAATGAAATTTAAAAAAAATTCTTTTATAAATTAATTGAAAAAAAATCCCAAATGTGAAATATTATTTTGTTGTGTTGTTTTTCTTTTCCTGTTGTATAGAAACTTGGTTGATAATAATAATATTTTTGTTTTTCATGTCTAATTTTTTCGATAGATAAAAAAAGAAAAAAAAGTCTTACTATATTATCGTTAATTGTTATACTTCCATGTAGAATTAAATTTTCAATTGAAGATCCATATTCAGGTAAAAAATATTTAACAAAACCAGATATTATTCGAGTTTCGTTCGTTTTCTAAAATCCATAAAACAAAAATTTGATTAAATCATATTAATCAATTATCGAATATTTTCATAATAAATCGATACGATTAAAATCTGCTAATAGTATAAATTTGATTGATTTTTCTTTAAGAAAAAGTCAGTTATTTAATAATAGTGTTCGAATTGTGATCATATAGAATATTGTAGAAAATATTTTAAGAATAACTCATTTTTCATTTTATTTTCTATAATATTAAGTAATTAACTCAAAACCGAATAGTGATTTAAATAGTCAACTTTTCGAAAAAAAACCGAGTATAACAGTTTTCACGTTCGAAAATAATACTTTTTAAAAATATCATTTTAAAGAAACAGTACCGCATTTTCTATGACCTTTTCTTAAAAGGTTAAAAGAATCACAAAAACAAAATTTATCAAAAAAAATGATTTTCTTAGCTTTTGTGATACTTTCTATTTTTTAAGATAAGATGGAAGAATAATTGTTTACCTATGATTTAATTCTCTTTAAAATGGTTTTATTAAAAAAAAATATTCTGAAATGTGAGAATTAGAGTTTCCCATTTTTTTTCCGAAAGGTTCCGATAATAGTTGATCTAGTATAGAATATATAAAATAGAAAATTCTATTAGAAAGATATTTATTTTCTATCAGTATATGTGTATGTAAGTGATAGTTTGATCAATGGTATAATAAATAAAAATATCCTTACAAATAAATCATAATGATGTTGATCAATATTTGTTTCTTCTAATGGAATATTTGAATTCCATTGACCTAAATATAATAGAAAATAAATAGATAAATAAATAAAATTGATAAAAAGACCTCTTGCCCAATTAATAGGATTAACAATATTCCAAATAGTTTTATCTGTGATAATATATTTCCATTTTTTATTAACAAGAATACAACAATTAAATAAATCATATGGATTTAAATAATATTTAAATAAACGTAAGAATATTTCATCAGGAAGTTGTGATATTGGTGAACGATCTCTAAGAACTATTTTTAAAATAATTAATAAAAAAAAAAGAAAAATTGCAAAGAAAAGAAAAAAAAAACCTTTTAATGCACATTGATTCCATTGTTTATTAACAATAAGACAAGATTGTTTTAATTGTCGATCATTTAAATATTTCATAATATATTGTAAAGTATGATCTGATAAACTATTAATTGATGTAAATGGTTCATATGAAATAACTTTAAATTAAAAAACTAAAACTAAAATAAATTGATAATCAATAAAAATGTTACCATAAATTTTAAGTGGTCGTTCAATTGGATAAATAATATCAATTGTAGAATTTTCTCGTTTTTGTAAAGTCATTTTAATAACTTGAGTTCGCATCATTTTTATTTCCATTTCAGTAAAATATTTTGAAAGTAATGGTTGAATATCCTAAATAAAAAAAGCAAATTATTTTTATTTTATTTAAATATAAAAAAAAAGAAAAAGTTCAACAAACGTTTTCTTCTTCGTTCATATGTGGTACAAAATCTTTATAAAAATTGTTCATTGCTTTATGCAATTTAACACCATAAGACATTCTATCAGCATTTCCTCGTCTTATAAATGCATAACCATCACGAAATAAAGCCATTAATGGTGTAAAACGATCAACTTTATGACAATCACAAATAAGTTCACTATCATCAATTTGAGAATTTTGTTTTAATTTTTTCTTTAATTTTTTCATAACTAAATGATTTTCAATTTCTTCATGTGCCATAAATTCTTTAAATATTCGTTGTAAACGTATTAATAATTTTTCAAAATCATTTAAACTTGTAAAATCAGTATGACCAAACTATTTTAATAAAGAACAGAAAAAAAACAATACGAAATATTTAAAAGATTATTCAAAATTGATTTGTTTTTATTTAAAATTACTTTTGAAGTACAACAATGCAATAATTTTCTCATTCGACTATGAGGAAATGTGAATACATTTAATTCATCAAATACAATTGGTACCATTGTCCTTTTTTTTTTGCTACTTTCACTATATGAAATCGAAGTCTACATCAATATGAAATGAAGGAAAATAAAATTATTCATTTATTATTATTTAGCCATTATTGATATACATTGACCACGATAATAAAAGATGTCGCTAATAAAAATCCATACAATCTTCGTTAACGTACATATTTCATTTTTCAATGGAAATTACCAACACTAATATAGACGTTCAACCTTGAAACATTTTTCTTTTTATAAATAACAATCTTTTTATTCGATTGATAACATATTGACACTATATTTCAGCTATCTATCAGAAAATTAACAAAATTATATTAGAAATTAAAAACATATGAATATTAAATGGTTGATCTTTTAGTATGAGAGATAATTTGAAAATATTTCGAACTTTTTCTTAAATATTGATTGAACATGTTAAACATATAAATATGATCAATTTTTTCATAGCAAAACATAGTTCATATAAACAATTAGAATATAAACAGAATTCTATCTGATTAATTCTATTACTGTTCTGCCTTTTTTTTTTCAAAAAGGACATCAAGGATAAAGCAGCAATATTCATATCATTAATTGAACTCAAATGAACAAGAATTATCTTTTCTTTTGAATATATCATTTTCTCTTATCATTAGTTTTTTCTTTAAATCAAAAGAAAACTTTTTATTAATTTTATGAATGACACAAAAAAGATAATCTAATAATCATAATGAAAAAGAAAATTGAATAGAAATTGAAAAGTCCTAACTATTTTAAATTGTAGTCTACCGGATAAAACATTCGAAACTTTTTCTCAATACGAGTAGGGAAATGCATAAACACTAAAGTTACTTATCTTTTCAAGAACGAACGAACAAATCAAAGACAAAAGAATCAATCAAATATCAAAATTTGTCGAAATGAAAAAGGAGTAGAATTTTCACTGATAATACAAATAAGTTTAAGAATGTGTCGAGTCATTTTATGTATCAATCAATTTATGTAAAGCATAGTAGATAAGATTAGAAAGAGAATTTCATGGCTATGTTAATTAAGCTTCTTAAGGAATTTGATTTCAAAAACTGAATTATTTATCTCAGCCTAAATTTTTCGAGAATTAACTCATTTTCAACCAATTTCTCTTACTCATTCTCTCTCATCAAAAAATGACATATTTAGAAAAAAACAAATGTCGATTTTTCATTCATACGATGTATACGTTTATCAATGACTGGTCCACGTGAAATCTGAAAAAAAGATAATGTTTTTATCATTTTTGATCTATTAAAGCAAATAGAATGGGATCTGGATAATTATCTCAATCGAGTATATCATTGATTCATAAGAACATCAATGAAGATCACACTTCATTCAATGATTCACTATTGGAAATATTTTATTGGCACTCTTCCAGTGATATAACTATTATTTGTTCATGTAAACACCAGAAAATCTAAGTTTCAAGCGTGAATGCATAAAAAGTTCTTTTTTTATCGAATACATATAGATGTATAAATGATCAAAAAGTTAGTTTTATGAGCATGTACGCACTCATTTCATTTCACACCCGTGTCAATCACACAAAAGACTATATTTGATGCATGTTTTGACCGCATTTTTACTGTCATGATTGTAGCAATAATTGATAACCATGTTATCACTTGAAAAATAAGTGTTTTGATCACGTTTCGATAAAAATATTCTTGTCTTTATTGATATTCAAAATTTGAGCCTTTTATTGGTCAAAATCAAATAATTATAAGCATGTTTCAAGATTAAACTTCTCATTCGTATTTTATTAAACATTCTATGCGTTTAAATGGTCACATACAAGTTAGTATGAGGATGTTCTCAAGCTAAATATTTTTGCACTTACATTATTTTTCCATTTAAGTATTTGAATGGAAGAAACAAGATATTTATGAGCGTATTAAAAACACTAATTTGTAACTCTCGAACTTCAGACTTTTGTATAGTTTTCAACGGATTTTAAATGAGATAGGTAGATAGTGACGTAGTTAGTCAAGTACGCTAGTTAGATCGATAGGTAGGCCGTTAGATAGATAGGTAAGTGGGTGTCAGTTAGATAAAAAGATAGATAGGTAGGCTAATTGCTGAATATATTTGAAGGTAAGTTAACAGATAAAGAGACAGATTTATCCATCTGCATATCAATTATTAAGATTACTTTGGGTTAACCAAGAGTTCTGATCACACGATGTTTAAAATTTTTATAAAACAGGTAATATCGAGGATTCTATTGTATGAATACATAATAGAATGCCTCGTCTACAATAATGTATATAACAACTCTATCTTGGATTTAATTCTAACATTCTCTTAGTTAAAGTCTCTAATATAGTGACTATGCGTATATTTGACTATCCCTTGTCCAATATTCGGATATATTCTGGAACTTTCTACATTTTTCATTTCTCTCTCTTATGTGACATTTTTTGACGTCATGTTCTAGAATATTACATTTCGATAGTATATATAGAGTGAGAGATCATTCGCTGTCAGTTCATTTGTTTACTTAATTCTTTCAGTTCAGTTACGAATTCGATCGATGCTTATCTAAAAGAATGTTAGAATTAAATCCAAGATAGAGTTGTTATATACATTATTGTAGACGAAGTAGTTTAATATGTATTCATGCAATAAAACTTTCGGTATTAACTATTTTATAAAATTTTAAACACCATGATCAGGACTTTTGGTTAACCTTAAGTGTTTGAATCGTCTATATGGATAAAAAGCTCATTGGAAAAACTTATTAGAAAAGGGGTGGAGATAGAAAAAAAATAGAGGAGCGTGTAAACCGATGAAAAGTCTGAGCGTTTTAGGGTGCTAATCATGGCTTACGAGTACCAGTCAAAAAGTTCACAGTAAGTAGATGTTAAAATGACTAAGAATTTGTAATATATAAACTGTCAAAAATTTGATCTCGTCTAAGAAGTGATCGTTTTCTTGCTGCTTTTTTTTCTAATATTTTTGGATAACAATCGAGAAGCACAATTAGCACTTGAACACAGTCGAAATTCCTCTAGCGTTTTTACTCATTTTTTCATTTTCTTTTGTCTTCTTGGGAAGCCGTACCTTTCTACTATTTATTAAAGATATACCCGGAAAAAGACTTGCATTTTTATCACACTGCTAAAAAATCTACGAAGCACCACATTATATTCCGACAAATATCGTTGAAACATTACTCGACCAAATATATGATACCATGCAACCAAGTATCACCTTCAATCCACCGAATTCTTCTGAACAAACGACATGTTCCAAATTAAAAATTTAGAATTCATCTTAAGTGACGATATTGACTTGCAGCCAGATTGTATTCAAGAAAAATTCAGCCTCTTAAAACGATTCAGACATTGGCATCGAAGAATTATTTACAACAGTATCGTCCAGACACTTATCTCGACAACTCGAAAACTATGTTAAATTTTTATCACCATTCACATTTCTTATAACAGACGCTGACGAAGATCGAGGTTAGTAATAGATTAAATTATTTCCTCTTAATCAAACACTGTATTAACCCGACGCAAAGCAAAGACCACAACTGTCTAACCTACATATCACAAAAGCAAATCAAATTGTATATAACAACAATTCTAATACTACCAGGACATGGTTTAAAAAGCAAAAATCAATCAACTGCAACTTACATAATTATTTTTCACCATCAAGAGATCGTTTTGCGTATTAAAATTGAATCAGTCCGTATGTATTCAATAGTATGCAATTATCAGGAAATGGTGTTCTGTTTAACTGAGGTGAGTGAAGTGATAGACTGCATATTTGGTAAATTTGGTTCGGTTAAAAGATCATTTTGGGTGTTTTTTGAATATTATTGTTAGAGTTTTGATGGTTTTTTTATCTTTATTTTTTGGTTCTAGGTGCAGTTGATGAAGATGTCATTGATCCACCTGGTATTTGACTGATGTTTAATTGCAATTCTAAAATATTAAAGTTAGGTGTATAATGGGACGCATTGTCTTGTAGTTATGCGAAAGCTTACATAATCATTAATTTAAATGAATTCGATAAAGCGAAATAATCATAGATGTGCCAAATAGATGAAGTTAATGTGACAAAAGAGAACATTAAATCTGATTTGTTCGAACTGAATAAATTTAATGATGTATTAGGTAAGGCTGTGTATAATTATTTAGTTTTCATTATTCTTAGTTGTAATAATATTCAGAAATGAAAGATAACTTATTGTTTGTTGTCCGCCTCATTTCAAATCTGTCAGAGAGAGAGAGAGTAGGTTTTCTTAACCTAATATTAGGTATTTTCAAATTTCATTGATGAAATGGATGAGAAATATTGAATAATCTATGGTCCTTTTGCTTGAATTAGAAAATTTCTGTAAATCAAATAAACCGACATTGATCTGTGAAATGTGAGAGTTGTGTTTTTGAAAGGTTCAATCTGATATAATCCCATAGAGATTGCACTGATAGAGGAGATTCGTCGTATTAAGAAAAAAAAACATTGGTTATCGAAGTAGTCGATTAATATTAAAGGAAAGAGAGGATTTGTAACAGCATAGGGGTGAGTAGGGAAATAGTTTTGTTTTCATTGAAAAGCTAGTTTCAACAGGACCGTAATTCAACGAAAAAAAAATTGGTTTGTTTTTTAAATTACATTTCAGAAAGAATCAATGTAAAATTTCGAACATTTCATCAAAGTACGTATGTGACATAGTAATAAAATTAGATAGAAAAGAGTTCTGTTTAATATATATAAAGAGAGTGGGTGTGGAGTGTGATTGTAGAATATGGAAGACAAGAAGCCTCAAATACCCACATCCAACCTCACCACCTACAACCAGACGTACACCAACCATATAACCAGCGACACATCAATGCGACACATTTTATTTTAGTTTGCCATCATTATTATCAAACTTTTGTTTTTCTTTCTTTCTTTCTACTTTTATTAAATTTTTATTTTCATCTTTAGATATAATTTCGTAACAACAAAACGATGCCTTT